ACTAGGAAAAATACAGCTCTGTTTCGATGTTTTCGAGACGCCCGATGTCTGGGCCTCCCACGATGTCTTTTCTGTCGGTCCTGGCGCTGTTCCTCGATCTCGCCCCCCCAGGCCTGTGACCGAGCCACGGGGCCATCGCGAGGAAACATCTATCTCCGTCTCGATTTGTGCGAGACGACCGACGTCTGGGCTTCCCTGACTCCAGATCTGCCCTACTTTGGGGAAATTCGTAAGTAGGGCTTGGAATTTCCGCCCTCGTTTTCAAGCCCCGCTGATGCCAATTTCCGCCCATTTTTCTGTTGCTGTTTTCGCCCTACTTCTGTGGATTTCCGCCCTACTTCATGTTGGGTGCAGAAATGTCCGCCCTACTTTTTCGTCCTCTTAGAAGTGGATCTCCGACCCAATTTTAAATTGGGAAAAAAGCCAAAGTAGGGCGGATCTGGAGTCTGGGCTTGGCGCTCCCAGGTCAGCAACGGCGGGGGCTCCTCGCCGGCGTCGGAGCACCGCGGCAGGCGGCCCGCGCGGCCCGCGCCGGCCTCCTGGCACGGCAGGCCGTCGCCCCCGGCCCGGCCAGCAGCCGGCCCCGACGGGGACCTCGGGCGCAGCGCATTCCTCGTCGTCGTCCTCGTTCTCCTCCTCGTCTTCGTCCTCCTCCGTCCTCCTCCTCCTCCTCCTCCTCCTCCTCCTCCTCCTCCTCCTCCTCCTCCTTCTCCTCCTCCTCCTCCCAGTCTCCTCCTCCTCCTCCCAGTCTCCTCCTCCTCCTCCTCCTCCTCGTCCTCCTCCTCATCCCCATCCTCCTCCTCCTCCTCCTCCTCCTCCTCCTCCTCCTCCTCCTCCTCCTCCTCCTCCTCCTCCTCCTCCTCCTCCTCCGCCTCCTCCTCCTCCTCCTCCTCCTCCTCCCCCCAGGCATCCGACGATCTGAGTTGTACCCTACAGGCCGATGGGAGGGCCGAGATCGAGGAACAGCGCCGGGCCGGGCGTCCCGAAACCATCGAGGTTGAGATTACTTACTAGTTCTGATTTTCGGCCTCTCGGGGCCCCTATGCCGGGCCTCGGGACCGTCGAAAAACGATTCGGGGGATGAAGAACTGGTCCCAGGGAAGTGGTCGCGAAGTCGGGGGCCCGTGTCTCGAATAAAATCGAGACGCCGGGTGTCTGGGGACATGATGACGGGTGGCCCGTTTCTCGACAAAAAATCGAGACAGGGGGTGTCTGGGGACATGACGACGACGTGAAACATTCAGGATGGAGGTTTGTCTCCGTTTTCGGCCTCTGGAGGCCCTCGCCGGGCCCTGGGACCGTCGGAGAACGATTCAGGACGATAAACCGGTCCAGGGGAATGGGTCGAGAGTTTCAGTGACCCGCTTATTGAAATTTGACCACGCGCAGAGGGGGGTAGGGGGAGGGGGGAAGGCTTCTTAGAAGCACCCTCGCTTCTTAGAAGGCGCGGGCCTTCTCTATAGATGTAAGGCCAGCGCCTTCTAAGGAGCAGCCTCCTTCTTAGAAGCCTTCCCCCCTCCCCCTATACCCCCTTGTGCGCGCCGCAAAGAACTATCACGACAGCGAATCTCTCGGAACCCAGACCCCCTCGGGTCACGAAAAAAACATGACGGGCAGTTCTTTGCTATTTCGGCCTCTGGGGGCCCTCACCGGCCCTCGGGAGCGTCCAAAAACCGTGAACAAAACGCTCCCGGGAACTGGGTCGAGACCGCTGCAGGGGTCAACGTCATGAAAAAATCGTACCGTCGTGCGTCTGGGAATGAGAGGTGAAGACAGGTGCACCTTTCCAGATCTCCGACGTCATGAATTTTTCATGACGTGGGCCCCCAGCGGTCTGGACCCATGCCCTGGGACCGGTTCTTCGTCCTGGCACCTTTCCAGACCCCCGACGTCATGAATTTTTCATGACCTGGGCCCTCAGCGGCCTGGACTCCGACCCATTCCCTGGGACCAGTTCTTCGTCCTGCGGCCCCGAGGGCCGGCGAGGGCCCTCTGAGGCCGACCATCACGAAACATTTGACGTCATGATTTGTTCATGGCCCGGGGGGGATGGGTTTTGCGCCCTAGAAGGGTGCACCTTTCTTCGGCCCCCCATGACATAGACATCGGGCCGCCCCAATGTTTTCGCTGCGTGGGCCCCGGGGGTCTGGGTCACTCCCTAATTGGGACCCGGTTTTTCGTCCTGAGTCGTTTTCGTATACGCGCCCGAGGCCTACATAGCGAGGGCCCCCCGAGGCCGACAACGGCCAAAACCACCCGTTCCAAGGAGGAGGAGGAGGAGGAGGAGGAGGAGGAGGAGGAGGAGGAGGAGGAGGAGGAGGAGGGAGGGAGGAGAGGAGAAGAGGGAGGAGAGGAGGAGGAGGAGGAGGAGGAGGAGGAGGAGGAAGGAGGGGAGGAGGGAGGAGGAGAGAGGAGGAGGAGGAGGAGGGGGAGGAGGAGGAGAAGGGACAGGCTCTCTCTGGGGAAGCAGCGCCCGCCCGAGGACGAGCCAGCGCGGCCGGCGCCCGCGTCCTGGCACGCGGCGCCGCGGCTCGGGGCCCCGCGGGCGGGCGGCCCCGGATGCGGGGACGTGGAGGCGCCGGCGCCGCCCGCGGTCGCGCGGGCGGGAGAGGCGCGGCACGGCGCCGCCTCGCCGGCGCCGAGCTCCGCCTCCTCGGGGTCCACCTCGTCCGAGGTCTGCGGGCCCAGACCCTTTTTCCTTCTCCTCCTCCTCCTCCCCTCCTCCTCCTTCCTCCATTTCTCCTCGTCCTCCTCCAATTTCTCCTCCTCCTCCTCCTCCTCCTGCTCCTCCTCCTCCTCCTCCTCCTCTCCTCCTCCCCTCCTCCTCCGCCTCCTCCTCCTCCCCTCCTCTCCCTCTCCCTCCTCCTCCTCCTCCTCCTCCTCCTTCTCCTCCTCCTCCTCCTCCTCCCCTCCTCCTCCTCCGCCTCCTCCTCCTCCTCCTCCTTCTCCTCCGCCTCCTCCTCCTCCTCCTCCTCCTCCTCCTCCCCCCCCTCGTCCTCCTCCTCCTCCTCCTCCTCTCCTCCTCCTCCGCCTCCCCTCCTCCTCCTCCTCCTCCCCGCCTCCGCCTCCGCCTCCCTCCCTCCGCCTCCTCCTCCTCCTCCTCCTCCTCCTCCTCCTCCTCCTCCTCCTCCTCCTCCTCCTCCTCCTCCTCCTCCTCCTCCTCCCCCTCCCCTTCCTCCTCCTCCTCCTCCGCCTCCTCCTCCACGACGGGAGGTTTTGCCCCATTTTCGGCCCCCCGCACAGAACGACTCAGGACGAAGCACTGGTCCCGGGGAGCGGGTCCAGACCGCTGGGGAGCCCACGCAGTGAAAAATGCATGACGTGGGGGGTCTGGGAAGGAGAGCAGGGCATGGGGCACCGATGCCGCTCGACCCCTCCCCCCCCGGCAGATCCTGGCGCTGCAGCTCTGACGCAGCAGGTGTTTTCTCGCCCAGTCTCGGGCCCCGGGGCCCTCGCCGACCGATCGATGGAGCCCGAAAAAGGGGGGCAGAAAGCTGCGGTCGCGGGCTCCGGTCGGGTCGTCATTTTGTGTTGGCGATGTTGCAGTGTCTGTGCAACGTCTGACTCAGGGCTCGTCGTTATCACTTTCCTGGGCCTTTCTGCCAGAGCCCCAAGTTACATCAGGGCAGGGGGATGGTCAGTGGTAGCTCCTGATTCGGGCCTCGCGCTTTCGCGCAGGAGCTACCCCGAATTGCACTCAACTCGAGATTTCGTGGGTCACAGTTTGCCCCATGACAGAAGTTATTCCGGATCAGTCGGATCACAGTTGGGGGCGCCAAAGAGGGCCCAAACCGCGTCTACCCAGGATACCTCGGGTGCACAATCGTGGGAGGCCCCTGTCGCCACGTATCACATCTCGACTCGCAGTGAGATTCTCATCAGAAGGCGCCCCGGGAGAGCTCCGGGGAGTGGCGGCACCGATATGCTTGTGCGTTGCCCGCAGGTCGGCCCGGAGAGGCTGGAGCCTCTGTTCGCGATTCCGACGGGGGTTCCGCCCGTGAAGCTGTGCGGATACCTGGAGGTGGGCGGCAGCTTGTCCATGGGGCGGCGGGGTCTGTGCATGCTCTGGGTTTCTTAACGAGCGTCACCCCTCTGACGGGAGTCAACCTCGCCTCGTCGTCGCGCAGCGACGGGGGTCGATGTGGGGCTGTCGGTAGGGGTGGCGCCCACCCGACGCTTACGAAGAAACTCTGAGTAGCCGTTGTTCCAGGCCTCGCCCATCCTGGGCCCAGGAGCGACGCATCTCCCTGGCTTTGGCAGAGAGCGCACATGCGATACACCGCTCCTGAGCCCAGGGTGGGCCAGGCGTTGGGCAGCGGGTGTGTGCGGACCTCGTCACCCTCCTCCATCTGGGGCTGGCTGCACCTGAGCACGCTGGCCTGCTTGCCTCTGAGTGTTACGATCCTCGTTTTCTGCGTCGTTGAGGGGGAGGTGCTTTACATTGTCACTGCATCACTGCTGGTCTGTTTCAACCTGGCCCTCACTGGCACTGGCAAGCTCATCAAGATTGTCAGGGTCATGAGGCGGCAGTTGGAGGAATTCACTTCGGAAAACCAGAAGCTCCGAGACTTGAACGATGGCTTGGCCATCCAGGTCGCCAAGCTCCAGAAGCTCAGGAATGGTTTTCTGCAGTTGCAGAGCCTTTGTCAGGGCAACGTTGACAAGGCGAAACAAATGCTCGCAAAATCTCACGAACAAAGCAAGACGGAGGCGATTGGCCTGGTCACCCAGCTCTTCAAGCAGTACCGCGACAGGAAGGAGTTGAAGCTTCCAAGAGCCCAGAAGGATAAGTTTTTCTCCGACCTGGAAAAGCTCTTGAGACACCTGCCAGGGTTCGACATGGAGAAGATCAAGGATATCGTCGGGCCCGGCGAGATGGGCCATCAGAAGATCCGAGAGATCGTTGACGCCATCTCCCCAAGAGAAAGTTGTGTGCCGATCCCAGCCCCGCCCCTGGAGTGCAGAGAGTTTGTAGTTGAGGTGTTCCGTGCGCTAATGTGATATTGGGTCCGCAGAGTCCCCTCGAGGATCCGAAAAGCCGCGTTCTGGAACCGAACTGATGCACCAAAGGGGCGAAAGCCTGGCTTCCTCTTGCGCGGTCGTGATTCCTCCGAGGCCCCCCCGGATCCGAAGGAAAACCAGGGAGTGAGAGACCCCGACCCTCGACGTTGATTGGGAAGGCCTTACGGCTTGTGCCGCCGACCTTGAAGGGTGACGATGACCACGACGGCGGCGTCGGCGGCGACGACGCTGACGTGGGGCAGAATCCTCAGTGATGCTTCGTGGGGCCTCTTCGGAGCGTGCTCGTGGACCTCTGGGGGGCAGTTGTGGGGCCTCTTGGGAGCATCTTGGGGGCCTCTTGGCAGCCTCTTGGGGACCCCTTCGGACTTCCCGGGGGCTTTTTGGGGCCTCGCCTCCTGGGGCCTCCTGGGAGCTTCTCGGGGCCGAGGGCTCTAAATGTTCGTTCGGGCTCCCTTATGGGCACCCTTTTGGAGCCGTTTTGGGAGCCTCTTGGGCTGGCCGTCTTGGGACCCCATGGGGTCGTCTTGCGGCCGTCTTGGAAACCTCTTGGTGGTCTCTTGTGCCGATCTTGGTGGCATCTTGGATCGCCGTGGGGCGTTGGGAAGGGGAAAAGGCGTGAACGCCAGAATCTTTCAATAACCCTAATGGAAATCATGTAATTGGGCCTGCTGGGTCCCACTTGGTGTGCGGTGTGCTCTTGGAAGCCTCTTCGAGCATCTTGGAAGCCGCGTGGGCTGTCAGGAGGCCATCTTTGGCGTCTTGGGCCGATGGTTCGGCGATTCGGGGCCCTCTTGATATTCTGACCCGGGACCCCCCCCCACAGGGCGCCAGAGACGGGGGCACAACAAACGGGGGTATGGGGAACGCCGATTTACACGTTTGGGCTATGCCCCCGTTTAGGGGGTCCTGGGCGCCGTACACGGGGGGGTACAGTAAACGGGGATATATGGACAACGACAAGCCTGTATCCCCGTTTAGCGAAACCCCCCGTTTACGAAGCCCCGAGGGAAGGGATCAAAGGGAAGGGGGTTTCCCTCCGACCCAAGTGGGGCATCGCTCAATTTCGCTCTGGAGTCGCTCTGGCTGGCCCGCTTGCGGAGGAGGGCCGAGTGGAAAGGGGGGGGGGCGGCGACGGGCCCAGGGAAAGGGGCCAAACGCGACGGCGACGACGAAAATGACGACGACGACGTCGACTACGCCGACGACGACGACGACGACGACGACGACGACGACGACGACGACGACGACGACGACGACGACGACAACGACGTCGAGGCAAACAGAACAGCGTCTTCCACACGCCGATTTCGTCGGCGGATTTCTATCACCGGAGTTCTCGACCCACTTTCACCGGAAGCGGCTCTTCGCCCAGGACTCGGCCGTTTGCCTCGAAAAATGCTTTGTCCTGATCCGGTCACGACGCGAGGGAGTATTTCGGCCCTTTCGTGTTGCGGCCGGCTCTGGTGCACAAAATGTTCTCTTGGTGGCCGTCGTTACGTTCGACGCCGTCGAGACTCCGGCGGAGCGCGAGCAGCGCACGATGGCGGCGCGCGCTGCTGAGACTCTGGTGTTCTCTCCTCCCCAGACGTCCGCCGGCCCGGCCTCTTGGAGACCGGTCCCCCCCGCTCCCTGCTCGAAGAGCGAGAAACGCTACGACACACAGTCAGGTCGCATAGCAAGGATAAGAGACTGTGCAAGGCTGCCCTTTTGCATCCTTGCCCCTTCCGCCCATTCTTGGCGGCTTTCGCTGACCAGCCCTGCTCGAAAACAGCAACATGGCCCTCCAGGGCCCTGGCGCCCTTGCCGCGCATCCTTAGTATGCGATTTGACTGTGAACCTGAACTCTCGGGGGCCCGCGCGGACTTCCTGGGTCGTCGCCAGGCAGGGCGCGACAGACAAGCTCCGGCGCGGCGAATGTGCAGGGCCTCCCGAACGGTAGCGCTTGAGGTGTAGGCGCGCTCTCTTGCCTTTCAGGGTGGTTGGCCAACCCCGGGGACACTCGCGGGCAAACTGCGCGCGCAAGGTTGCGCGCAAGCGTCCAGTTCCCACGCGATGTGCTGCGCTGGCGGCTTGCGTAAAACCGCCGCCGCGGAAGGTCGCTCCGCTGCGCCCTCGCGCGCAAGGCGCTCCCTTGCCTCCACCGCTCGAGTGGCGAAGCGCCGCTCCAAGCCGGTTCTCGCACAGACCCCTCCCGTCGTCCATCCTGGCCAGTTCTTCGATGCGTCTCGCTCTGCGGGGCGATCAACCCTTAACATGCTCTGGTTTGGAGTTCACATGTCATTATTATCACTATGATCCGCTATTTTATCCATGTGTTTTCAATTCCCACAGGGGGGAGGTGCCGAGGGTTGCTGGTGCCCCCCATGGGCCTTCTGGGCCGCTCTCGCGCAGCCCACGCCCGGACGCAGCGCGAAGCAGCGATGGACCTTTTGGCGTCGAGAAGGGCCTCTTTAGAGGGCCTCTTGCCCTCTAAAGAGG